GTCCTGTGCTCTCTCGGCGACTTTTCGAGCACGCCGTGGCTGTCTCTCCGCGGCGTGGCCACGTGTGCTTCAACAGTGTGCAAGGGGACTCTGCACTCGCGTCGAGAGTGCGCACACCGGGGCTGAGAGAACTGGCTGCCGGCACGTAGGCACCGGGAAACGCGGGACGCCTACTTGCAGGGTACTGGGTGGGGGTGATAATTTCGTGAGGCACCCGGTCGACCGACCGAAGAACGGTCCTTCTTCGACGGCATCGAGATACGTGTGGGGCCACGTCCGTAGGGTTTTCGTTGTAGGGAAGATCGCGATCGGTTAGTATATAAGGTGTTCTTTCGTTTTGAAACGAATTGCAAGAGTATTTAATAGTAGAATGCTACGATTTTTCCTATTTTCCCTAGGAATGGTAAGCGTAGGAACGTACAGTGGCAAATAAAATTAATTTACAGATTAATTCACAAGTTTAATTGACACAGTGAATCGATGAACGTTTACGAAGCTTTCGTTGTAGGGAAGATCGCAGTCGGTTGGTTGTTATACAGGGTGATTCTGAAAATCGTGGTACAATCGAAAAGAACATAGTTGTTCTCGTAGAAATTTGTTTAATCGTTAATTGTTACCAATATTTTATAGCAGCGAATATATCTTCAAAAAATCTTTTAATTCCATAAATGTTCACCTTTTACCAAAACGCTCGTGTTCCAGAACTCGTTGACTAAAGCACGATCAATCAACCCGGGAGCAAATATACTTATGCAGAAGCAAAAATTCCGCAAGGAAACGCTAATTTCACGCGACTGCCTCGAGACTCTATCAGCCAGTTATCTGGCGATTATTCAAATTACCGAGTCGACCTCGCGAGTTTCACAGAGGAAACGGTTGATACTTAACAAATTGCGGCAACTCTCTTACCATGGTCCGATTATTTCAATTGCACGTGGTCACCGACGAAAGAAAATCACCGGCAACTACTAAATTCAAATAAAATAAAATAGGAGAAAAATCGTGAACGGAACTCGATTACTCGCCGTGACCAGGCTTAACCTAATTGCGTGCGCGAGTACGTGCCTGGTAATTAAGAACAATTCGCGAGTTAGAGCGATCGAGAGGTGAGTTGGTTCAGGCTCGTTGAAATTCCAACCGCGAGGGACGAGCCGTACGTAATGTGCGTAATTTATCGTAAGCTTCTTACGCGAGTCGGTTTCAATTTCTTGCTATTAAGGCACGTACGCGATGGCAGACGTAGTGAAAGATCGGGCGGTTAACGGTGGTGGTTCTTGATACTTTTCTTCATTTTCGCTCTCTTCGCAGTTGCTTTTTGCCTCTTTTATTTCTTCCATTTTAGAGAATCTTTCTTGTACCGTATTTTTCATTTAATTGCTGCGACTCTGTTGGAATACTTGTAACAGATATTTATACATGCAAGTGTTCAGCTTCCTATAAATAAAATTTCGCCTGCCTACAAGAAATTATTCCTTCTCGCTTTAATCTTTTCTATTCTTTGCGTAATTTCGTCGTACAACAGGATCCAAAATTATAATTATATTTCCCTCTGTGATTAATCTATTTCACAAACTGACACGATATAGTTAAGAACGCAGTGCTGTAGGTTCCAAAAAATTCACACCCGTAAACCGTTCGCCGATCGTTCGACCGGAAGTCCTCCAGTTTTATCCTCTCACGTGTAGTACGTTGCACCGCGTGAAACGGTTGCCAACGGCAACAAACGGCAGTTTGCAACGTCCAGATAGGCGCATTAACGGAGGAACGGGGATGAAAACGAACAGATTTGGCCGTGGCCCGCTCGATTGTCCCATCGTCCCTTTCTCTCGTAGCCGGTCGTCTATTAAATAACCGTGGATCGCCGCTTTTCCGGCGCTCTCGCCCGTGAGATTGATAACGCAGCTGCGTTATTGCCTCGAGATCGACCCTGCGTTTCTCTCAATGCACTTTTTTTTCTCTTCTTTCCCTGTATTTTATGAAGCCGGCATGCTTAATTGCCACAGGTATCTCGAAGGTAGATTTTATACTTTTTTTACGAATTGCAGAATTTAATTCCATTGTGAAGGATCGAGAAATTGTTCATCTTTTGCACAATGAGTATCGTCGCTTCGGACTGATTTGGTTAAAGCAACGATATTCATCGTTAAATAATATTATTATTGATTTTGTGCGCTATCGATCTTGCTATCATGCTATCACGTTATCAATTTTGTGTGCTGGACTAGATTGGCCGCGTGGTAGTGTTACACAAAAACAGATGAATGTAACTTTCGTTGGCAGTGTGGTATGGAAGATGGTGAGACAAAGAGAGTGCTGAGACGCGTGCAAATGTATATCGACGAGAATCCTGTACATCGTTCATTAAATAAATCAAAAATTATTTTAATAAGAATTCTAAGTGTAATCTTAGTGTTCCTTCACTTTTATTTCGGCGATTAAGATCCACAATTCTTAACAATTATTAATACTTTTCTATGCGAAATTATCGCTGGAACATGGATATTCACGCATTGGTGAGAATTTATTAAACACACGAAAATCCACGTAATATACAAAAATATCTAAAATATGCAAAGTTTAAAATACCGATTCGACGTATGTGTATAGCAAATATACAGCAATAATATGTGTTAGAGATTTTATGTAAGGGGACAGTACTAAACTCCACGGTGATTTCCACATAGCAAGGTAGTTCTTCCACTTCGAGTTCTTGCAACAGAAATAATTTTTACTATTGCAATCGTAATATCTCTGTTAACCTACTTTTCGCCTATAAATCCTAACCACAGAGATATTATTGCCGCGAACCGGGTATTACGACATTCTCAAATTTTTCTTTAGGAAAGGGAAAAGAAATTACGGAAGAGTCAGCTTCCCAGAAATTCCCTGTACTCGTTTCTCATATTAAAAACACGTTTGCGTATCGTGTCCCTTCATTGTATGCTAACGACGCACAATTTACGGCGTGTTTCGTACCACCACCGTATTTTCGCGCGTTTAATTCATCTTCGCTCTTGCACAATTACGCTTCGTTTATCCTTTCATTCATTGCCGCTCGTCTCATACACCAACGAAAGCCTCAAAACTACTCGTTAACGAATCCCCCCATCTCTCTCTCCTCTCTCTCTCTCTCTCTCTCTCTCTCTCTCGAGCAATTAAATCGCAGAATTGCAATGTAAGGTTCATTATAATTCCGCGATACATTCTCTTCGAGGAAACGGTTTCCACGCAAAATTTATTTTATTCCTCCCTTTTTAATTTATTTCGATATCGAGTTCGGAGTTGCAGGAAATTTCGAAATATTTGGAACAAAAGTCGACAAGCTCTGAAATCGAATTTCAGCCCACTTGAATTTTCTCTTTAAGTTACTCTTCAATCTTTACTCCAGAATCCTAATTCTCAAGAATTTAATGAAGCTACTCTCTTCGTTCGATCGATTCCCCATAATCCTATCCTATAGATATCACACTTACACATACGTACGTCTATATTATCTCCATCATCTATACTATTTCTCAACATCGTATTTCTTCGTTCGTCAATCCGCGATCTCTTCATTTAAGAAACCTCGGTATCAAAGTTTTAGAAATTGGACGCGACTTTGTCGTTCGACGACGATCCTGCGCCTTCGATTTTCATAAAAATATTTCAACTCCCACTTCACTGTCCTTCTACTGAAAGTTGCTTCCCCAGAAATTCTAGCAAAATTCTAATCGATCCTCTGCCTAGATTGAGCTAAAAATTCTAGCAATGCTGCGCAAGATTCCACGTGCAACATTCAGTCTCCTCTTCGAGTCGAAGAAACGGAAAGTCTTTCCACTCGATTGTTTCCTTCTCGACGGCCGTATATAGGCGGAACAGGATCCGGTAGAAAAATCCACGGAAGAGGACGAGGCGGACGAGATGGAAGGCGCAAGAAACCTTCGCGAGAAACCGGCAGCCGTTCCCCGAGTTTTGCTGTCGGCCAGTGAAGGTCGAGCGTAACTGCTCAGCCAGTTGGCCGGTTTCCACAAATAGCCGTCCTACTGTGCCTTCTTTGTTCGTTAATCGTCCCGAGAAAGCAATTAGAAGCTTGTGCACACAACCGTGCCACCATTGCTGATCTTCTTCTTCCTCCTTTTGAATCTATTTTTTCTTCCTTTATACCAAGTACTCG